TACCGTTATATATTTTATTTCCACTGATCTACGATCAAAAGTTTTGGTGGGACTTCTATGTATGTACCTAAAGTAATTACGCTTTTCAGGCTCTTCACACATATTTATACTTATTTTTATACAGTCTGATAAGACTAGTATTAAAGGCGCAATATTCAAATGCATAATCCAACAACCGATAAGCTCAAATATTTATAAAAATGTATGTATTTTGTTCTGATATACAAAAAAAAATTATAAATCAGAAGGATGAAATGGTTTTGTGTTATTAAAGCAAAAGTCTCCCAATCCCCCATCGGCTAAGCCACTGCTACTCCAATATATATGTTTGCATGTATGTACGTATGTACTCGCGTACCGATAATGTATCCAGTCGTTTTTAGTTAATCGGATGTTTTGTCACCTTCAGAACACCAACATCCACAATCGACATTCATTTGAGAATAAGAAAAAAAAAATACAGTTTATGTTTATGAACAAATGTCATTGCATATTTTAATGCACTCACTCGATTTTTTTGTTGTTGTTAGTTTCTTAATATTCTTATCTGTACGCTTAGGTCTCCTACGAAAATCGTTGAGATATATCTTTTTATGATGTAATAACAAACTTGTTTTAATTTTGGCAAAATGCTTGTTATTTGCTATTTATGAAGAATTTGAGTTTAATTGCATTATACAAACATAAATATTTACATTTATCAAAATATTATTCATGGCATTAGCTAGCACTCCGAATAAAGGTATTTATTACTTAAAAAAAATGCTAACTAGGAATATTATAACATTATTGAAATATTCAAGAAAATTTTATAAAAAAAATCAAATAAAATATTTTTAGCCCGTATTTGGTTAGCATAAATATATATATAAATACATACATACAAATCTATGTATAAATGCAAAAAAAAAATATGTAATGCAAATGAAAAATAGGTTTTGAACATCTGTTCGCTGCATACTCAGTACCAGATCACAAATGTTAATACGTACATCCATAAACGCATACTATTATTGTATGTACAGTACGCCCTCGGTAAAAGCAACACTTCATAAACGCAAAAACTCGATTAAAGTAGTGATTAGTGACTCAGTAAACGTAAGTTTCCATGCCTATTCTCTTATTTCTTAGTTATTATTTTTTTTTTGTTTCCTTTTATCGCAGCTGGGTTGTCCTTTTTAGTTACATAATTTTTGGGATATATTTCATTCGTATGAAACTGCAATGTATTTGAGTTTAATCTGAATTAATTTGTCTTCTGTTCGGATGTTTCTTTAATTTTATTCGAGATATTATCGTGGCCATTCGAAAAGCTACCAAGCTGTTTGACGAGAGCAACAAGTCAAGCCTAAGAAGGTAAAAAAAAAACTGTTTAGTAAGTATCAAGGGGCGAGTTCAGTAGGAAAAGTGTGTAACTAGAATAAAAAAAAAAAAACAGTGAAAATCTGAGGACATAAAAAACTTTCTAAGTGTTTTTAAAGGCAAAAAAAAATTATCCATTTCCACAAAAACTCTTAAACAAAATCAAGAAAAAAGGAAATCAGAAGACAGAGATGGATAATTTCAATAAATATAGCGTTGTGGAATGCGAATGCTAAAAATTATCAAAGAAAAACTTTTATAAATATAGGCCAAATTTGGAAGAAAATTTTTTGAGGTAGAATTTTCTCATTTCCCGAGTTCGCTTTTACCGAGGTCGTACTGTCTATACATATGTACATTAGGGTGATCCAAATAAACTAACCTAACGAGTTTACATATGGCCTTAAAAGGGTCTATTTACTGAGAAAAAAATTCTCACATTTGGAAAAATGTGTATTCTAATTTTAAAAGAAGTCGGTGAGTATTTGAAATTTTCATTAAAAATGCTAAATTTTTTAACCATTTTAGGCATATTCTTGTAGGATATAAAAGTTCTCTAAAAGATTACCCTGCGGGGCTACTCTGTAATGCGATACGAAAGAGCAATGCGATACGAAAGAGCAATGCGATACGAAAGAGCAATGCGATACGAAAGAGCAATGCGATGCGAGAGGTAAATACGCCGTAAGTAATATGCTGTGACGATTGCCTATCGCATCGCATTTCTCTTTCGCATCGCAGTACAGGGTGTTAATTGTCTAGACTTAAAAATGTTTATACTTAGTGGCTATGAAAGTCGAGAAAAAACAGAAATATGCAGTTTTGGGGCTTTATAATTGCAAATAATATGCTAAATGAAAACCCGTACACTAAAATGATACAGAATGTATAGAAAACGTTGACTATGAACTAGATTTGTCAGAGAAGAGAGAGTTTTAGTCCAATCATTTATTTTTTATTGTATTTTTAAACATTAACGTTCTTTTTAATTATTAACAAAATTCAGTTTATTGCAATTGGGATATTGGATTGGGATAATTTTGTATCAATACTATACCTCGTTCAGCAATATCATTAACATATTTAATACTCTTAATCGTCTCTAAGACAATCAAATTTAGGGTAATTTTTTAGAGAATTTATTGCCCTAGAATTTTTTACCCCAAACGGTTCAATAGTTATAATCAGGGCCAAAGAAAATAAGCACGAAAAATCCACTTTACGCGCTTAGATAAGCACTTAAACATTGGTAAATACGCTTTCAGATATGCTCGCAAAACAATAAAAAATAAGTACAGTTTAATGTTTTATCTTTTATTCAGTTTGTTTCAAGAAATGAAAAATTACAAAGGACGTACAAGTGTTGCTTGATATTCTAAAATAATAAAGATCTGCGCTGGTCGTTTTAATTTTTTTAAATATTCGTTTTTCTCCATTTTTTATCTCTTCAATAACATCAATGCCTTCCCGTGGAGACAAACCATTGGTTTTAAATTTTTGTATCCAAGCAGGAATGCAATTGAAGTTACGCGTTACAAAATCTGCTTTTATGTTATTATTTGTTAAAATTTCTTTAGTTTGACGAATAAAAAAGTCCAAGGAATTATCAAGAAAAATGTAATGGGCCCTATGAATAAAAAATAAGCAATTGCTGTTTCTTAAAATTTCAGACCTTTTACTCGATTCATTCAAACAAATTTAAGTAAAAGGACTGAAATTCTAAAAAAAGCAATTGCTTATTTTTTATTCATAAATCCTAAAAAGCCTATGTTTCTTAAGCAGTATGAAGTTATTAAGAAATTTTCACTGCTTTCTACTATGGTTTGCTAAAGTTTGGCCCTTATTATGAGCTGCATTCGATTTTCGATCTTCGCTGGCTATCGAAGATCGAAGATCGAAAGTGAAATTCGTATTATGAGCTATGCAAGCGTTTCGAAATTTTCGTTGAGTATCGAATTTTCTGTCGAACAGAATTTTGGTTCGATGGTGTAGCGAAGTGTTAGAAAATTGTGAAAAATTTATGATTTTGTATATGTTTTCTTACATTTTGGCGGCTAGACACTAATTTTAAACAATTTTTATTAATTTCATGCAGTTCTAACATCGTGAATACTAAACACAAGCTCGAAAGGCTGGTTTTACTTGGGAAAGAAAATCCCAATACTCTGTTGGCACGATCTCTGAGAACAAAATCGTAGCGCTGTTGATAGTTTTAAAATATTTTAAATAGATTTGGCTCACAAACGCCTCTTTAGATGGTCGGAATTTTTTAATGAATCTGTAGACAAATTTCTTAAATATATTTTATATCAAAATATATTCGAAAGACTAATAAACTTAAACTCTCTTAAACATTTGCTACTCCTGGCCAGTTTACTAAGCTCTCATCCTCTGACGAATCGTTGAACCAGAACTCGTTGTCCTCATTTTACCACGTTTTTATAAACTTGCTTTCTTTTTTACTTCATTTTAATTAGAACATATTTACATAAATATGTATAAGCACACTATTTAGTTTGCTCGATTTGTAAACAAAGCTTCTCAGCGGTGAAAAACATACTATTGTGAACAACCTAAACGAGCGAAATTCACAATAGCGCAATTCTTCATCGAATGAGCGCCATAATACCAAATGAAAATTCGTTCGCTCAGCACTTTCGACCACAGTCGAAAATCGAATGCAACTCATAATAGGGGCCTTTGTTTGTGAAGAGTACAAGGTATGCAGTAAAATATCAGATATCAAAACTCCTTGGACACTACTATGTATGTATTCACAAACACGAAATCGCAATTTATTTCTAGGCCGTTAACTTAAAAGGTCCGTACTTAGCTTTATACATTGAAATGAGCAAAATAAGCATGATCGTTAAAATTAAGCTAGGAAACCCTGAATAAGCAAGATAAGCAAAACCTTAAACATTTCGGCCCTGGTTTTAACATTAAAAAAAAAAACTATTTTCATGTTATTCCCATGAAAAATTTCAAATGCCACCAACACCTTTTAAAATTGGAATAAAAATTTGTCCAAATGGCAGAATTTTCTTCTCTGTGAAAATCCTTTTCAGACCATAAATTCGTTACGTAATTTTATTTGGATCACCCTAATCTACATACATACATTTGTATATATGTATATGCAAAAAAAAAAAATAAATCCACATTCATAAATAGTCGGTGTGAGTTAAAGTAGCTAACAACACTGGAAAATGCAAACGAACATGCTCCAGAAAAGCAACGCGTGCCTCCAAAGCTATGCCAATCTATTATCGGCCAATTTACACACATCCGCAATTCTCGGAACTAAGCCGTTGTAAAAGTCTGCCGACTGCATTTCCAACAGTAGTCGAACTAATTATCCCTCTACAACAAAACAGTGCAAATAGCCATAAGTGCATATTTCTAATGAAACAATCGCATGAATCGCAACAAGACTTACAGCACAGGCGGCTTATCCATCTGCGCCCTACTCACTTTTACTACTTCCTGATAATACATATACATATGTATGTACGTATTTATTCATTCTATACATTTACACATCCATACTTTCATCCACTTGTTTTTTGTTTTGTTTTTGTTTTGTTTAATACTAATCGCAAACTTGTTTTTCTTTTGTTTCACTTTTCCCATTGCAGAAAATCAGTGCCCACAGTATGGCGAAGTGAATCAGCTTGGCGGAGTGTTTGTGAACGGTCGCCCACTACCGAATGCGACGCGCATGCGTATTGTTGAGTTGGCGCGCCTCGGCATTCGACCCTGCGACATTTCCCGTCAATTGCGAGTTAGCCACGGATGCGTCTCGAAAATATTGGCACGCTATCATGAAACGGGCTCCATCCTACCCGGCGCTATAGGCGGATCAAAGCCGCGCGTCACCACCCCAAAAGTGGTGAACTATATACGCGAACTCAAGCAGCGAGATCCCGGTATTTTCGCTTGGGAGATCCGCGACCGTCTACTTACCGAAGGAATCTGTGATAAGACTAATGTGCCCAGCGTCAGTTCGATTTCGCGAATATTGCGTAATAAACTCGGCTCCATTGGACATCACCACCATAGCGCCGTAGCCGTGGTGGCAGCAAACAGCACAACTTCTTCACCCCATCACCATACGCACACTCATACACATTCACATGGACATCATCATACGTCAGCACATAATGCAAGCGTCTCAGCGGTAGCTACAGCAGCGCATCATCAACATGCCGCCGCTGCGGCTGCTGTACACGCACATCCACACCTCTACAATTCCATTTACCAGCCATATACTGCGTATAGCATGAAAACGGCCGTATCTTGTGGCAGTCCCTCACCGCCGCAATCCACACAAACCACACATCAGTTGCGTACAGCAGCGGCCGCGGCAGCTGCGGCACATTGTTGGCCTTCATCCCATTCGGTTAGCGACATTTTGGCGCACCATCAGGCGGCGGCGTTACGCGCCAGCTGTCAGGTGGGCAACACAATGGGCACACTACCGGCCGCGCTGCCAATGACACCATCACCTATGGGCGGCATGATGGGCGCGGGAACTCAACAATTGCTAGGCAACGATGATTGCGATGGCATGGCGAATAATGCGGCGACAGCGACACAGGTTGCAGTGGCAGCAGCGGCGGCGTCACAACAGCCCTACAATTACTATATGTATTTCCAAAATACCGGCATGCATCATCATCATCATCATGGTGGCATGATGGCGGCTGGGGCGACTGGATTATGAGATTTGCATTAGGAGGAGAATAAGTTTAGGGGGGAGAACGCGGAAATCGTAAAATAAGCAGCTGGAACAAAGCTAAAGTAGTCGTTGTTGGTAGATACATACATACTTATTAGAAGAAGAGTAAAGAAAAACTCATTAGTGAATTTCACTTTAGTTCATAAGTAAAATTGGTAATGTGTGTGTATATATATGTATATGCGCATATATTTATATGCAGATGCAATGCTATGAAATTTTAGAATATCTGAATATATGTGTAATAATTGTACGTATGCAAGTATATTGTTGATTTGTCATTCAAAATATTATTGCAAATTTATTAAAAAAAAAAAAATATGAAATATGAATTTAAATAAGTATTTATTTTATTGCCAGCTACTTTATGATTCGGAAAACAATTAGAATAGTTAAAACTAGCGACTAGAAAAACTCTGGGATTGCCTAAAAATCGAATTTATGCGCCTAAAAATATGTTGTTTTCAGCGGTCATAAATTACAATTCTTCTGTTCCCACTATTTACAAACCCATATACATAGATGTACGTACCCTGTGAGAAAATCTCTAATTCTGAACTGATGCGCTTCTAGTTCATTTAGACCCAGTACTGGTTGGCGATAAATCTTTCTTTTTCTGACTTTGCAGAGGTGCTCGCTGTTATTGATTAGATTCCAGACGGTCCCAAGATGTTAAAATGTTAACGCAAACTTTTGTTTTGAATGAAAGTGCATTTAAATGAAAAAACCCCGCCAAATACATATCTATGTAAAGTAAATAAACTCCGCTGCGTGCCTTTTTCGATAGTTCCGAATTAGTTCTAAATTTGACAAATAAGATCTAGTTCGTTCTGCTAGTGCTAAAAAATAGTTGGTTGACGTTTCAAGTTCTTTAAACATTTATTTAAGCTTTTAAAGTTTAAGAGATACAACAATACACCGACCCCGTTTTGAATCGCTCAATTTTTTTTAGAAAAGTTTCCAAATCCAAACTGATTTACCACGTTCAGAATAAAATATATACCAACATACACACATGTACTTATGCATATACATAAACAAATAAATGTATAGTCTATATAAATACAAAATGGGCGCATTCATAAGACGTAGCTGCTACGAAACTGCTGGCAACTGTTGGGCCCAACAATTTGCGTCTAAGACAACAGACACAAATGATTTATGTACATACCATCTGTATATAGCATTACGTTATATGTACTCTACAAATATACTCATAGGGATATAGATTTAATTGCAAATTTAATTTTTATTTTTATTGATATTTTATTTTTAAATGTAAAATGTTAAATATAAATATAATTATAAATAAACATTACTTGACTATTAACTGCATACATACTGAAAACTCTGTAATAAACGTATGCCATTTAAAAATAGCAATATATTAGAAAACAAAACCTAAAAAGCTTAAAAAGCCGATAAATTGTACATACATATAAATAGTAACTCCCAACTATAATTTCAGCCTGCAAATAATTTTTTATATCTTTGGTGAACAATTTTGGTTTTAGAATTTACTACATTTTAGAAGGATGGAAAACATATTGAAATACGTTACTTACCTTGCATTACAATAAATAACTTTTAAAATCTAAATCTGTGACTTTTGAAAAGTAACTTTTTATTTTTAATTTCTCCACAAGCCTTTAGCTCTACTAGCTGTAGAATAGACCTTAGTCGATGTTTACATTTGAATCATAGACTTTAATGTGACTCTCAGACTTTGCTTTGGATTCAACTTATCAATTATTTTTCTAAAATTCATTGACTGATTTGGAAGACCATGCAAAAATATCGAATTCAGCGTCCAGTATTGATAATGCAAACCTAAACATTAAAAAAAGATCGACCACTCGTCCACGACCAGGCTTGCCTAATTGGATTAATATAAAAACCAGAGATCTTTTCGGTTGGGGAGCGTAATCTACTATTATCAAAGCCCAATAAAATAGTGGGTATAAATTGAAGATTTATTCCACTTCTTCATTTCACAAAGTGCGAAACCCAATTCTTCTCACCCTTTCACAATTTTCGTTGTTTACTGGTATGGACACAATTTTACCAATAACATAGCTTCGGTAGTTCTTTAAACTACGTAGACGCTGTCAAAATTTTGCTTAAATAGCTAAAGGGATATGAAGGATAAGCGATTGCACTGATGGATAAACATTGTAAAGCTATTGTCTTAACCGATGTAAAAGCATGTTTATAAATCAGATGTTTTCCTTAGGAATGGTTGTTGCAAATCGATATGCTACTCAACAAATTTTAAAATTTTAATTTTTTCTGAGACAAAGCTAGCCTTTTTTTGTGAATCTTATTATTATTGTTGTTACGAAGACAATAAGTAGTAGTATTTGAAAATAATTTCTGACAACACTTCACCAAGAAATTTTCAAACTACTACGGTGCCAGGGGACAAAGTGAATATTCTCTATGAAAATTTCTCGGTTTAAAAAAAAAATATTCGACCAAGCCTAGTGGCTAGACCAGTTTTCAGTTAACGAACTGCGTTCGATTGGTCTGTCGAATAATTACACAAAAAATATACATACATATGTAATATATTTATAATGAGATCTGTACTATAGATATATTTATTCGAAGACTAAAAATAGTTAGCTTTCAAAAAGTTTTCAAAATAATAAATGGAGCAAAACAATCAAATAAATAATAAAAGGAAAGCGAGTTGATAAAATCGGGGTAATAAATAAATAAATGTATGCCCGTAATGTGAATCTGTTGTTTATTAACTGAAATTTTTTTACATATTAAAAACAGTTAACTTAGTTGCATCGTAAAGCTAAGTTAAAAGTAGTTTGCATTTGCCATAAATGTGACTATGAATAGAAGTAACGTTTTGTTCGACACTTAAATTGGAGTTGGAGCTTAATTAGTTTTTACATATGTACATATGTATGAATACACATACATATATGTGCATACATATGTATGTACCTATGTATATTTTGGTAGACTTGTGTATGTGCACAGAACGACCTCGGACTAATTCGGATTAAATCCTGCAGTCCGGGAAACGTATGGTGCTACAGGGCGTATACGTTTAATACGCAACTACGGGTATATGAGCACAAGAGGTTATTTTTTCATTTTATATGTACCTGAGCGCACTTGTGCTATAACTTTGTGCACATAACGGTTGTTTGTAACAGCCAAAACGGACCCTATTAAGCTGGTATTTCAGGGTACTATTTTATATATATATAAGGAAAATTTTAAAGTTAGGGGGGGGGCGGGGGTTGGGGCTCGAGCACCCCCTTCCCCTACTTGGCTACGCCCATGAGGATGATATTGAAAAATTAGCAGTAAAATTGGATTATTATACATTTTTTGATAATGGGCGTGGCTCCGCCTCCCTATGGCCAAATATATGTATCTCAGTAACCGATTACTTTCGGAAAAGCAATTCGTTCAAAACTAAAATTACACCCGCTTCCCGTATAACGATAAATTGCAGAACTACAGAGGACGCTAATTAACTCCTAGTTAATAGTTACAACAATATTTTAACAATAAATAAGAGTGTTTTAGACTTTTAGGAATTGGTGACGACACCGCCCACTTTATGGCAACAAAGCTGTAGCTCGGTAACCACTTTATCGATTTCTATCAAACTTGGTTCAATTAAGTCTAACTCAACATATTGGGCCTTATGCATAAAAAGTGAGCTTAAGCTCAGACTCAATTTTTGCACTGAAAGGGTGAGCTCAAGCTCAAGAATTTGTACTGAAAAACGAGTCGGATCTTAAGCTCACTTTTTATGCATGAGGCCCATTATCGAAGCCGTTTGAAATCGAGAAAAAAACACCTCTACTTATCATGCAAAGGTAGTTTAGAGAAAGTTGAAACTACAATATTTAATACCAGCGCCGAGTATACAAATTCGCTTATTCTTCCTTCCTTGCTGTCGTGTATCTATTTTAAATTTTCATTTAAATACAATTTCGCTGTGGAATCTTGTTCTTTGTACAAAACTGAAGACAATGCATTTTCTAAGATAAGTGTGCATCCATTTTCGACCAAACCCACGTTTTTGTATATTGTTAAATAATTTCAAGAATTCATTTTCAGACCATATATATGTATGTATAAACTGCGCTTAATTGTTAATATTTAAATATTAGATATGCAACCCTGTGTTTGTACCAAACAACAATCAGCTGTTCAGCACAAAATGTAAACAAACGAACAAATGCAACAACAATTTCATGGAACAAGAAACAGTGTTGCCACTTTACTGACATATTTAAATAAACTTTTAAAGATAAATGGCATTTAAATAATAAACGTTAGTGTCTGAAATTGGCCTTACATATACGAATTGAATACATGAAAGGGTAATAAATGCAGGCATTTTTAACTACGTTTTGTGAAATGATTTCGTAAAATGACAAACGCATCAAAGCTCTAAACGCATCGAAACCACCATCACCGCGCGACACGAAATTAAGGTTTTATCTACAAAATCTAAACGCTTTGTCGACGGCGACATGACTTTTTTTTGGCATTTGTTTGAGTTTGACATTAAAGAAGAGGAAGAATCTTATCTGTCGCTGGAAAAATAAAACTATATCTGGCCACAGCTACATTTTTGGCTAGTCGCGGTGTTGCCGTGTCGTCGCCAAAATAGTTATTCACATAAGAGTACATGTTAAAATAATATGACAGCTGTGGTCCGTAGCCCGTCGTTTCTAATGTGTTTCAAGCTTAACGCCATGTCTATTACAGATTTTGAAGATTAAACGCATTGCTTTTTTGGCACTCCGATATTTTGAGTTTATATTTTTGTAATTCATTACAGTCTTGTATTTTCTAAAACTAGTATATAACATCGAAATTTATAACATTAAAAAAATATACATATTTTTTTAGATAATAACGTCTGTCGCTTTAATTATAAAGTGCAATATACAAGTTAATATTTGAAATGTACCTGCATGTGTACACATTAGGGTGGTCCAAAATAAAAATAGTTGGAATTTTAATGCTCTCATCCCCTAGGATTATTCTATATTGAAAAAAATATTTTTTATTTTGAAATCAAAACATATTTACGGGTCGCTGAAATCCCTCAAATATCATTGAATATCAATATTTTTCGATCGGAGAACTCTGACTCTCTTCAGGAGACTTACAATAACAACGTCCAATTGTGAATTCCCAATTATTGGGAGCCTGATAAAGAGAAACGAAGTTTTCCGATCCAAAAATATTGATTGTCAATAATGCTATACCACTTCTACGAAAAGTGGTTTTTTCCCATATAAAATACATGGAAAATTTTGAGCGCTATGAGCGACCTCTAAATATTTTTCGATTTCAAAAAAAAAAAAAAAAATGGGTTATATTTTTTTCGATATAGAATAATCCTAGGAGGTGAGGACATAAAAATTCCGACTTAACTTTTTCACATGCATTTTTGGATTACATACAAACAGTATATACATATATAATAAACTATACAACAAATTTATTTTTCTAATATAAATTTACCACAAAACGTATATCTTTCCAAACAGATATAAAATTAGATAAAATACATTAAAAGTTCGACATAACAATATTTGTTTAAAATGTAACAACCACTCGAGCTCAATTAGGTTTCGTACATACTATGTAGTAGTTATACCCTCCAGTCTTAAGTGCAGCATTCAGTACTAGTATTTTGCTCTCTAATCCAACCGAAACAGAAGTAGCCAAAACCTAAACCCAGTATTACAGACAGGCTCAGCCAATAATTAAAATTCATGAAGACCAACATCAGAAGATAGGATATGATGACTTGTATTACATTTAAAAGCGTTTGTATTATGTGATCTATTGAAAAAAGACGGTCTCTGTAAGTTTTGCTTCTGATTTCTGGCAAAGGAGCTGGTGCATGTGGACAACCGGCTGGATGGGTAGCCCGCTTCGCTTCCTCTTCGGCCATACGTTCTGCTGCCTTTTGCACTGAGCGTTTGTGTAATTGCTGGCGTGAACACTTCAATGCTTCATAAATGAAAGCGATAAAAAACCAAGCAACACAAGAGAAAGCAAACTCCACAACAGTACTGGCGACCCAATTACGCCATAAAATTCGTTCACAATGTCCACCATGAAACTGAAAACAAAAAGTTATGGAACTAGTTAGTATATATATACATATATATACATATAAAATTTGTGTACATACATTGGTATCTATGCTTAAAATTTTAATTCAATAAGTCAAGACAAAAGATTGAGAATCTTTTATAAAAATTTAGCATAGTCTACTTTCACAAAGGGGGCGTTCCCATAAAATCCTCGTAAACTTACGATTTTTATGCTTTTTAAGACTTTACGAGCTTAAGAGAATCCCCTAAATGTCATACACAATGCAGTGGTATCTATTATTTCTTTAATTTTCGGCGCTGAACAACGCTTGTACCGCCAACCGAATTTACTAGCTAGCATTGTAGTATATGCCACGATATTGTCATCATTCTTGAGTAAAAGATTTTAATTGCCAAGATACATCAATTTCTGGCGTTCTCACCACTCACAGGCAAAACAAAGTACATGTCATTTGTCAAAGAATTATAGCGAATTGTCACCCCTATTGCGAGTGTCGACTAGTAGTAGATAAACGACTATTATTCGATTATTGCTTTTCCAGGGTATTGTGAATGTCGATGTCCCGTTCAATAAGTGACTGCAAACAGTTTTTACAGTTTTGTTTGTAGAAGGATGTTCGACTTAAACTTATTTACACTCACATTGAAAATACGATGGATAATCGATAATCGAATAATAGTCGTTTATCTACTACTAGGCGATACTCGCAATAGGGGTGTGTGTGTGTGAGTCTCATGTATTTATTGGTGTTAATGGCGCTATCGCTTTTCTTATATTAGTGTCGGCGCGGCAACTCCGACTACGGTGTTAACGCCATGGCGCCGCACATCGCAGTGTTACCCATGCCTAACTTGCTGAAGATAACTTTAACTTTGAAATAGGCAACGTTGATGTTCGCATATCTATAAGATAAGGTGAAAACGATGTTACAAAAATGAAACATAAAAACACAATTATCTTTGCATGGATATACACCCCGTGTCATAATTATAAGACAATTTTTACCATTTTATCTTTATGTTATTTAATTTTAGATATTTTTTATAAAAATTTAGTTTACTTTGATACAATTTTCGAGCTTTTTATTCCGATTTCTTAGAAAGGTTTTGAGTATGCAGTGTTGTCGTTGACACGTGGTGTATACATACGCTCCCAGTCATTTGAATAGTACACCCTTTTAATCCTCAATATAAACACTTTTCCTTTTGTTTGTTTAATATTAATTAATTAAATTAATTTTTTATAAAAATTTTGCATATTCTACGTGTGAATCCGTTTTTAAAATTTGATGTAAATTAAAAAAAAAAAACATGTCAACAGAGGAATGTGCTATCTATTGACCTGCAGTGCATATGTTAATATTAAAAAAAAATTTGGAGTATGCTGGTTTGTACCCATGCAAGAATTAACTTCAAAATATACGTTTTTTATGAAGGATCGTATTTACAATTTTTTACTTGTAAATAATGTAATTATTTACAGGGTGATATTTTTGGTGTAAATAATGTTCATTTGTAAAGAATTGTAAACAATGTAAATATTGTTAAATATTGTCTCGGTGCGAAAACCCACGTGTTTCAGCCAGGGTGGTGCCTGTAAAATATTTACAGTATTTACAATAATTCTTTACTTGTAAATTGTTGTAAATAATTGTAAACGATGTAAATAATTTACAATTTACAATTACTTACAATATTTTATAATTGTTTACAATATTTACAGTTACTTCCAGTGTAAGGGCCAAATTCACAGTTCGTAGTTAACTCAGAATCGCACTGTGAATTTGGCCCTAAGTGTAAAAATTTTAAAATTTGTGTAAGTGTACAATCCTGATGCTAATCCCTTTTTCGTCGGAAAGGTGGTACCTTAAGGGTGGTCCCCCACTAACTTTGTTTAGATCGGATAATTGGATCATGAAGCAATTAACGGTACACCTAATTTTTAAATGAGGATTGAATTTCGAACAAAAATTTTGAAAATTCCACAAAGTTTCATCAAAATTTCAAACTTTTTGATCAGAATTTTAAGAAAAAATGTTGGCACGCACTTTTGTATCCCATTAAATTTTAGTACAATAAAGTGCAAGTTTTAAAGAGGTAGGCAGGCCTTACCGTTAATTTTGGGATTTTTTTTTACTCACGGTGCTTAACATTTTCTTCCATACAAGATATGCTCAAAATTTTTATATATGGAGGATTTTGTTTTTGTAAATTTAGAATATAAAGATTGAAATTTTTATGAACATTTGTTGAAATTCGTCGAACACTTTTATGAATCTTGCACAAAGTTTGAAATTTTGGCATACATGCTTTTTGTTAAATAGTGAGCTATATTTTTACAAAAAATAATAAAGCTTGTCAAAATGTCGTGTTCCTATTTGTTTCCCGGCTAGCGTATGTATATACTACATGTACGATTTTTAGAGCATGGCTGGATATACATACATACATACATATAAAATTATACTCAGCAAATGAACTCAAATGAGATATGGAATGGGCATCCCTGCAATGAATAATTTCTTTAAATGATTGCTTCATTTTGCTTTTACAATCATCATGCCTTTTGCAATAGTCATTTTATGGACAGTGAATACAATGACACTGCTGGCTTAAAGCCATGAGATGGAGCCTCGTAAGTAGCAGAGAATTAATCACCTTGTAAGATTGTCGCAATTTAAAGACAAGATACATACATACATTTCTGAAAGCTTATGTACATATGTATGTACTTATGTAAAGTTATCGACATCAGTATTTGCAGTGCAATTATGAGCTTCATGTATATTTGTATGTATGTATAACATATAGGTACTTAATCGTATTGAAAAATAAAATTACTTGTTTAGTTGAAGATCAAAATTATTTATTAAAATTTTTTGAGTGTAAAATTTAGAGTAGAGACACTTTCTTATACTAAATATTATAAATTCAAATACGAGTACATGCTTAATACATATGGACATAAAACGTAAAAAATCGCCAATTCACCTATATACATACGTACATGTTTCTAAAAATTATTGTTAGTAATTTGCAGTTATTTATTCTTGTGTAGAGTATATTTTGTTACAGATTATTTTGAAATACATATTTTCTAATGACAACAATCATTATCATAAGCATCATGTTGGCTCCAACCAAAAAAGAAATATCCCAAACCTAATCCTAAAACGACTGACAAACATAACCAATAGTTATAATTCATGAAAACTAACATTAACACATAAGAGAGAGCGACTTGTATAAGAAATAACAGCGATGTTATGATGTGCGTCGATGTTACAAGAAATCGCCAATATGTTTTCGATGTTACTCGTATTTCGGCTAAAGCTATTCTAGAACTATACTTCATCGGCCCTGATGAATTATCAGCGCTCTGATTTAACTGCAAGTCCAAAGTTGCGCCTTCGGCTTCTTTTCGGACAGCCCGCTTGATCAGTTGTTGGCGCAAAAATTTCAATGTTTCATAGAGAATACCCATTACAACGAATGCTAAGCAAGATAGTGCGAATTCTACATAGGTACTGGCAACCCAATTCCTCCAAAGAATGCGCTCACAATGTCCGCCATGGAACTATGGATTTTAGATAAGAAAATATTTTGAAGATTAGTGTTATGAATGGTGCTATGAAAATTATTGAGCAAATAAACACTGTAACTATCAATTAAGCTGCATAAAGGTGCTGAAGGAAGATCACTTATGGACTTGTAGAACAAATTCATTTTCAGTTCAGTCAGATTGTAGCTAGTATGTGCATACATACGTATGTGCCTATAATCCCTTATACAGTGGTGATCAAAAATGGATGATAGGTGTTTTGTTCTTAATATTCACAATGAATTTCAAGCTAAAATTTTTTTGTTATTTTTTTATACAAGTATGGTTGATGCGACCTTGGGTTGATGCTGTAACAAAATATTTTTTTTAATTTGTTTTAATTTGTACAGAAATTAGAAAAATTCAATAAGTTTTCATTAAAATTTTGACATTTTTAAAAATAATTTTTATAAAATTTTTGGGTATGCAGTTATAAATTAAAGTAATGTAAGTGTAAGCTTAAACGGCTAAAAAATCGCATTGATGCTTAAAAATGTTTTTCTTTTTTGTACTGAGGGCTTTTTGATATTTTTTTTACATACATACATATATAGGGTAATTTAGGGAAACTGGCTTTGATCTTTTTTAATTTATTTCACAAACGGTCTAGCGCATATTCTTCTACAAGGAATTCACGTTTATACAGAAAAAAGTGCAAAACGCCCGTAAAAAACAAAATAAAATATTAAAAATCAAAGCGATCAAAGATTTTTTAGCTTCTCAAAACTTGCGCTTATTTCGCCAAAATTTTATTAGCCTTGTAACCGCATACCCAAAACTTTTATAAAAATTGTGATTAAAAAGCTCGAAATTTAGATAAAAAGTTGTGGTATTATTCTAAATTCTGTAAACAGTTTGAAAGTTTGAATTGAATGGTTTTTGTTAAAGTATGAACCATATTTTTATAAAAAAAAAACAACAAAAAATTTAAAGCTGAAAAACATTGAAATATTATAAACAAAACACCATCAATCCACTTTTGACCGCCACTGTATATACGGCATTCACCTTAAGGCTGTGAATGATTGGACTGGAACTATCAGTGCATTTGAATAAAATTCGGTAAGCAAACTCACAGCAAGGCACAATAGGTCAAAAAGAAAATTTTTGCCTGCAAAACTTAAATTTCGAAATTTTTGCCGTGGTCATGTCAGAAATGAAAGTCAAGGACTCTTCAGCTCGTGCAGTTTCAAATTCGAATTGTGAAAAGTTTCCCAATTAGAAGTACACAATTAAACTTAAATTGATTTGGAACATGATTATGTTTTAAAAAATGCTGATTTTATGCCAGGTGACACTATCTTATTCGAAATTTTCTCTTTACAAGTTTTGTACAAAATTACCTAATGTCAAAAAATAAAGCGTGAAAGTGGTTTTATTACTTCACCTGTTTATTGCGCCATGGGTCAAGTCCAAGTACCAGTCAATTTCTAATTGCCGTTAGGTGACACAAAAGAGAAGCGCAACGATTTATTAAGCTCGGCGAAAGTGCTTATTGCCGTCCCTAAATTGGAGCGCTAAGCGTTGCGTTTTCCATTGTCATCGAGTGTCTGGGCGCGTTTTCCTACTTTCACTTTCTTGTCCTTTCCCTTTCTTTCCGTCGTTTGCATCCAACTTCAACACGTAATGCCCTGTCAAAAATGAAAATTCCATTTGCGTTATTCATACAAACTGTATGGGCATGAGGATTTTTGACAGTTGCTTGGCGCTTAACGCGCCAATTTAGGGATGGCAGTTAGGCGGGCACAGTGCCAAAAAAAGAAGAAGAAATATGTTCAATATTTTCGGGGCAAGGATAGAGTGGTGTAAACAGCGCACAAATTGTACTGCAAAAGAGAAAAAATTTATATATATATATATATTTTCCGATGAAAGATCCTTTTTGAAATTTCCAAATTAAAGCATGTGACACGCTTTGAAATAAATCCCAATGGGATGGTATATTTGGCCGAATCAACAGTGTGGAGGAGGAAAGGCTACATTGCAATGCATTGTGGTGATTAATCTTGGTGTGGCAAAACATGTTTAGATGTTATTTCGGGAATTATTAATCCGGACGCGTATATCGATGTCCTTCAGAGAAGCTGTCATCCTGCTTTGAAAGTGAAATACTGCTGGTAAAATCTATAATTCAGCAGGTAAAAAACTCGTTTTCACACTGAGAGAAGAACCACAGCATTTTTCGATGAAAATAGTTTATCCAGATTTAATCCCAACGATTTTACCCTCCTTCTGCCCAACCAACAGGTGAGACGTAGTCAACATAACGTATGATTTTTGTTTTGTGTCTTGTCGTGCAAGCAGGAGTTAGTTAAGTTTAGGAATCTAAAACTACTCAATCTTCAGCCAAATGGAACGAGCTATTAACCATCTCTGTCATTAATTTTACGACAAGAGTAAGGTGGGAGATTCTATTCTGAATCCCAGTTAAAATTAAGTAAGAATTGTTTTTGAATTGATTCAATCTTTTCTGAATAAACTTGATAGCAGGGATTCCGAACAATAGATCCGTATCCTAATATTTGTCTAACTAAAGTTGCAAAACAAGAGCTTTCGTTACATAAGGATCATTGAACACTATTTTCGCATGCCCGCGGAAGTCGGGCGCGCACTCTGGCAAACAAAAAAATACATTCCGACCAAACTATATCGAAATGCACCCTTTTTTCATAGATAAGTGCAGAAATGTTTATTACATAAGTTGTTGTTAAAAATTTTCCTCCACGAGGCGCAAAAATTTATTAAAGTTAAAGTTTTCATAAAAAAATTCTTGAAAAGCAAAAAAAATATTATATTTGTAACGCAAATAATTTCATTGTATAGTTTAATGTTTTTTAAATCCGCAACCAAAAATTTTTTTTATTTGGACACTTTCAAAGAAAAAAAATCTATAACACAATACAACATAACAAAATTTTCAATTTTTGATTAAAAAAAAACTATTTGGAATTTTGCAACAAAATTTTCTTTTCGACTACAAATCTCGGCGCTGCCTGAATATCATTGAAAAATATTAATCTTGGTTAATTCGGGACCCACTTGCTACAAAACTCAATACCACAATTTTGTCTAAAGGTGCTGATCAAGATGTTGGAAATTTTGGTCAAACTTTGCAGATTTTTCATATTTTTTGCATAAAGTCTGAAATCGTGTTTGTTAAGTACTCACCGATACTTTCATAAAAAATTAATAAACATTAAATAAACTAAAAAAAAATAGCCAAAACTTACTAAAATGCTGCGACCCATTTTTTATTTGTTTCACTGTATGTGTATCTCGTTAACCGATTTATCAATTTGTAACAAACTCAGTACAATCATTGACCTTGGCATAAGAAAGCTATATGTTGAACATTTTCGAAATCGGACTAAAATTACGCCCACTATCGACTTCACAAAAAGAAAAACGCGTAGAAACGTTAAAAACGTATGGTGCATTGCTTTAAAACGTTGCACCACGTTGGATGTTGTATTCTAGCAGATAAAGGATCGAATCCAAAAATTTTCATACATGTGATCAAGGTTAAAAAATAAATAAAAAATTCACAAAAAAATTCGAAGTTTGTGAGAATTGCCCATATAATTTTAGTTGAGTTTTTTTTTTAATTTTTTCAAATTTTGACCTAAAAATTTTGCAACTTATTCATTTTATTATTTGAAAAGAATATGTCGGAAGTCAAGCTAGTGTAGCTTTTGAGTTTTTTGAATAATCATTATTTTAAGCGAAAAAATAAAACTGAATATGAATTATTATCTTTGAGCGTAAAAATATAAATCATAAAATAATCATTATTTTTAATCGAAAAAGTAAAAGCTAAACATTATTTATTAATTCTAATTTTTATAGTCGATTTTACCAGCAATTTATTTTTTAATTTTTTAATTATTTTTTATTTTCTGTCAATTTCTATATAAAATTCAGAAAATTAAATTAATTTTTCACTGAAATTTCTTTCGTGAATTGGCACGAAGGTTTTAAGACACGCGGAATAGACGAGTGGATTTAAACAAAAATTACAAATTATACACAATGCTTGTGAATGCAAATTTGTAAATAAGTTTGCACTTCTATTTTTTAAGTGACAATCAAAATTGTATGGCCAATCGTTGCCTTTGTTCTGCACAACACTGATGTAAGAATATTGTAAACTCGAAAACATAAGCCTAAATGGAAACAAGTCGTAACGAATAGTTTTTTTGTTTGCATAAAACGACGTGCGGAGTTGTAATTTGATGAAATAAGTCATAATCAGTCAAAAAGTGAATTTTAAATTTTTTGCTAGTTACGGCTTTTTACACTTCAGGTGACGATATGTAGTATTATATGCTATAGCATTCATGCCAAACATTTACATTTCGAAAATTGCATAGTTCATTAATTATGACAAAGATTTTATTAAACCTGTTGAAAGCTTAAATAGTATGTATGTATGTATTTCCAAACTTATTTCTTTCCAGATATACGTACATACATATATGAAAGTCCAACGAATGACCGATAGCCCGCAGGCAAGCAGTGATTTTGATATGCCAAGCCAAAAAGCAAGAGATAATTCCAGTGTTTAATAAACACACGTACTCTCAGCTAATTAAAAGCTCAGCTTTGACTATTCTAACATAAAGTTAGCTACTACGTCATATATATGCATAGATATGTAAGTACATTAGACTGCATCACCAAAAAAATGTGGCGGTTTTCCACCGGGGTTACAAAATGTATTATATTTTAAGACGTCCACCAAAATATTTTGGAAAAATATTAAGATTTACGCGAGCTGGACCGATTTGAAAATACTTTCAAAAATGGAGTTCTTTATGAATAAAAATAATTTCTTAAAAACAGCATCCAAAATCTTATTATTACGATTCGGTTTAAATTTTTTAATATTTTTATGTAAATTTTTTAAGCTTAACCGGTTTGGTCATTTAAAGGAATTTTCTCAAAAAAACATCATTAAGAAACTATTTTTATTCATAAAAAACTACATTTTAGAAGGTATTTTCAAATCGGTCCAGCTCGCTTAAATCTTAATATTTTTCCAATATATTTTGGTGGACGTCTTAAAATGCAATAGATTTTATAATTCCAATGGAAAAACAGTACCGATTTTTTTTTTTTTTGTATAGCGAGTGATACAGTCTAATGTACATACATAGTAATATGCCCGCTTTAATGTGTACAATACACAAATACTTATGTACATTTTTATTTAATTAACTTACCACCATTATCATAGGGCAAGAAGCTATGTCTGCCGATGTATCATTACCATGCGTATGTCCCATATCCATTTTGATAAAAAAAGTTTAGTAAAACGTATAACTTATTATATGTAGTTATTATTTATAAAAAAAAACCAAAACAAATCTGTTGTGGTTAGATTTTTGCAGAGAGATAGCACGCAGAAAAAGCTGTTGATGATACTGTCTGTGCAAAGCGTCGTTTCATTCGTAGACACTGTTGTGACCACTGATCGTTGTAGATCGTTCACTGAGCAAACAGATCGTCGTGAGCTTACTCGATACACGCCGAGCAATAGTGAGACTAGCACTGGTTTCCAGTGTGGCTGGTTAGGGCATTTTTAAAGAAAAATATTTCCAAGCGAGTAACAACGAGAACAATTGCTAACGCCTATAGATAAGAGATAATAGCAACAAAATCAGTGCTGCATACTGGGTTGGTTGGGTGGCAAAGCGCACTGCAATAATGGCATGAAAAACAAAGAGCAACATGAGACAATAATAGGGTGTTGAGTTTTTCGTATTGTTTTGACATACTACTTACAAACATATGTACATGCATATGTACATTAGGGCGGGTCAATTTGTGTTGGAGATTTTTTCGCCTATGCGCGAAGAAATTTGAAGAAAAAACCAGCTGCGAAAATAGGTTTCTTAGAATTTTGGCTGTAGTGTCGGAAGAAAGTGCTTAAATTTAGTATAAAAATATGCTGTAAGGGGTGATTTGGTATGAGTAATCATTTCTGCATTTATCTTTTTCTTAAGACTTCCATCAGAAAATTTTCACATTTTCTTCGAAACCTATTTTCTCAAATTGGCAAACTACAAATTGATTTTCCACCCATAGTCTTTTCAGCAAATTTGCTTAGAATTACACGTAGAATCCTCCTATGCTATGCGTGCATAGTAAAAAAAAAAAATTACCCGCCCTAACATACATATCTACTAATATTTATGCTTGAAAGAGAATGCAATACACTGGTTGCAGAAATTTTTACCAGTTTTGGCTACATTTCTTTTGTTTATTAATGTTTCATATTTTGTTATGTAGTGAAAAGCATTTCAAACTTTGTGCAATAAAGAGACATAGTGATAAAAAAAAAATTTATTTTGCCGCCTTTTAGTGCATGAAAAATTCTCACTCGGAGCGCTGGCGATTGGAGCGCTCAAATATCTGCAGACCAGATCTGTCAATTTGACGTATTTTAGTTTGATTTCACATTCTTAACGTCTCCAAATTCTACAACTGGGAATTCACTTTCGCTCGCGGCATATAAAATTTCTGCTAGGTTTCTTAAGCGCAAGACAGACGGGCATGCTTATGCAGATAAACTAGCATACAAATGCGCATAAAAATTTTGCCCTGACAGACGGCAGTATTGTGGATTAACGCGCCGGAGGGTAGTGGGTTCGAGTCCCACGGCCAGTAGAATTCGCATTTATTTCGTTTTTATTCATATTTTTATAAGTTCTATATATTTTTAACGATGTTTTCAACAGTAATTAAAGTAAATGAAAATAAAATAAAGTAAAATTAAATATATAAATCAAATAAAAAAATAAAAAATAAAAAAATAAATAATAAAAACAAAAAAAAAATTCAATAGCTCCAACCGAGGATCGAACCTGGCAGCTACAGGTTTGTAGCATGCTACTCTCACCACTCGGCTACCGTCTACGCCAAACTCGCCTGCTTTCTTTGCTTACCTGTACAAAAGGCAACAGCTGGCCGTTTTTCCGTTCCGTTCCCAATAATTTCGTGCATTTGTTCGGCTGCTTATGCGCATTTTAAAGAGGAATATGCATTTAAAGCAAATAAGCGCTATTTATGCAATTAAGCGAGCCCGTTTGACAACCGTATTTAAAGACTTTTACATAACTTTTTGAAGACTCACCAATGTTGCTTGTTATATTTACTACCTCACAACCTTCTAGTGCCTGAAGCTAAACGCGGACAATTCAACAGTATACATACGCATTCGCAAAACCTTCCCAACATTTGATGCGAATGTCGATGCGAATGTTAAAAATGAGGCGAATCATTCGTATAAGCTAATGCGAATGCAAATATTCGCAAAATCTCTAATGTATTATCAATATTAAAAGCGAAGAAGTAAGTGGATCCCAGTTAAAGTATAGATACATACATGTATGAACATAGATACAAAGAATTTGATAAGGGCATACATATCAACATAAATATGTACTATAAAACGCACTGACCTCTTTTGACTAAACTGTTTAAATTTTAAGCTAACTTAACGCTTATCACTTTTATAAAAAAAAAAATACATATTGAATTGATTTCATCTATCACCGAGCGGCAATAGGTTTGCCATTGCCTGGCGAGCGGCGACCGCTGTTATAAATTGCTTTTTTTTTAATTTAGATGCGGCCCGGACCAGGGATCGAACCCAGGTACTGCGGAGTGGTACAACGCAACTCCGACTACTCAACCACGCCGACCGCCTATTATCTTTTACGATGCTACAAACAATATACTTATGTTAGTAAACTGAGGAGCATACAAAGGGCAACAGCCGCAGTAGCAATAAGTGCCAGCCCGACAGCAAAATGCTATTCTCAATCTGATGCCTATTGATCTACATCTGGAAGAAGTGGCTCAGCGGCGGTTCGGACATGGCTTTATCATTAATCTTCTTTTGTTGTTGTAACAATATACAAATTCCCCAAACAGTTTTTCTAGAGTGATATTGGGGTGCCAGTTCTTGGCCATATATCTATAAATTAGGGTCCTTCCAGTTATGTAGAACCGACTGTCTAGGAACTACTCTCTCCTACACACCGACGGTTTCAGAAGTGGATTGCGTGGTTGGAGCCGGAGTCTACTCTGAGGAACTCGGTGTTGCTTTGTCTCTACGATTGGGAAAGGATTCAACCATCTTAATAGCAGGGCTTCAAGGTATCCTCGAATCTTGTAAAATCTAAGGTAATAGAGTCCGGTACAAAAGTAAAGCAACAATACATTCTGACATCCACGCGGCGCTATACGCAATAGCATCATCGGTTACCAAATCTAGGCTAGGAATATTGATGAAAGCTGAGGAATTAGCGAGGGCAGCAGCCCGTTTGGATGAATACAAAGGGCAGTACTGGGTTGCCGTCTTAGAATAATCTAAAAAGAAATTACTCTGCATTTCCTTGGACTAGCTAGAAGCAGGTGGTCAGGTATACTGGACTATAAGGTATCAGGAGAACACTTGTCTGACTACAACAGACATGGACAGAATCGTCAGGAAATCTAAATGGTTCGACCATGTAACTAGGTTAAATACAACGACTAAGTTATTGGTCACCGAACACACGGTCCTTAGCGTGGGTTATAAATCGGTTCTAGTACAACATGAAAATAGGTTTCTTATAATTACTGAACCCCTTTTTTTCTAGTAAAGAACCCGTTATTTCATACTTGATGCGATCATCTATTTTAAAATCCGAATATGTTTTAACAAGGGGATTTATAGAAATGTAAAATTATGTACTTATATGAACAAATCGCGCGAGTTGATTTTTTAGCGTCACTCCCTTCTCTCGCCAGAAAAAAAAACGCTAAAGCAGTCTTCTTGCAGTTATTGTAGTCAGTGGAGTTCCAGCAACAAATACAATAAAATAAAAATAAAAATCTAGTATTTGAATAATTTTAGCCTTAAAATATTTTTTAAGCGAAAAAGTATCGAAATTACTAATTTTTTCATTGTCACTCGAAAAAATCATTATTGTTTATGTTTAATAACTTTGGAAAGTCTTCAAATACAACATAACTGTGAAGTTTCAAGAGTTTATCACGAAATTAGAAAAAAAAATGCCAGCATGCAGGATATTTGCTGCTTTTTTGCATTTTTTGAAGTTTAACGAATTATTTAATTCTAATAATTTTAGATACTTTAAAATATTAAAATTAAACGGTGGAAAGAATCTAGTGTAAAATTCCATTTTTATATACACGAAGAAAGTAATATATGTGTGCATAAGGAATACTGTACAAAAATCCTAAACGTCAATATTTATTCAATTTTAAACAATATGACTTTAAAGTGCCAGTAAACGTGTAAGATGACTGTGTATGGTGCTGCGGGGCGTATACGTTACATACGCAACTACGGGTATATGAGCTCGAGTGGTTATTTTTTACATTCAGTATATACATTAGGGTGGTCCTTAAATGTAGGGAGAAAATTTTCACATCAGATTTCCTAAAACTCAACTCCTACGTCGATGCTACTAATCGAAGATATCACATATAAATTTTGATCCCGATCGAAGTCGGTTAAAGCGTGGCGCACAGAGGTCAAAGTTCAGATTTACTGTGACGACGTCTTAACCGACTTCAATCGGAACTAAAATTTATATGTGATATCCTCGACTTTAGTCGTATCGATTTTGGGCATTAAGTGAAAAAAACATATTTTTTTAATGTTTTGAGTCCTTAGAGGCATCTGGCCTTTGACCCCTTTGCGACGCGCCTTATTCGACTCCAATCGGGACCAAAATGTATATGTGATATCTTCCACTATGGTAGTATGGATTTTGGGTATTAGATGAAAAAAAAAAATTATTTTAATTTTTTGAGTCTCCATAGAGGAATCTGAACTTTGTCCTCTGTGCGACACGCCTTAACCGTTTCCAATCGGGACCAAAATTTATGTGTGATATCTATGACAGTGGTGTTACCGATTGAAGGGTGAGACTGAAAAAAATCGTTAATTATATTTTTTAAGGACCACCCTAATCTACATACATATGTATACATATCCTTTTCAAAATTTCATTTAAATACAATTTCGCGTTGGAATCTTTTTCTTTACACCAATCTGAAGATAATGTATTTTCTAAGATAAGTGTGCCTCAATTTTCGACCAAAGAATACGTTTTTGTTAAAAAATTTAACATCTCGTGAGATTTGGTCTTAGATTGTTTGGAGTTTTCATCGGGTAGTTTTTTTATTTTTTCAACTTCCATCATCGTTTTTTGCAAAAATTTATATTTAAGTTGTCAAATATGTGATACTGCTCTGAATTTCCTTTTAATATCAAACGGATTGATGCGTGTGAACACCGTATTACTGGCATAGACTTCTTGATGTAAATGAAACTACGCACAACTCGTTAACTTTCATTTACATGAGACGATTTTCTAAGCGATTCAACATTGCTCAACAAAAATCGCTCCTATAACTGGTGATCCAACAAATAATCTGGCGAAGAAATCTCTTGCTTCACAATAGACAGCAAGTCAACTTTAGTATTTCCATATACGTGGCAGATAAACTCAAAGAGAAATTTGCTACATCTCTTCACAAATTGGTTTTACAGAGAGGGCGGAAATTTTTACTTTTTGGTCAAATATTTAATTAAATATGTATTTCGCTTATTCCGTTTTTACTCTTTGCCGTTAATCAACAGAAGCATTTCATATTTAACAATCTTGTATAACATTTTAACCCTCGAAGTGCCATTTCTTTTCGAAAAAGAAAAACCTTATTGCACATCTACAGGCATTTGTTCCTCATTTTGTTTCCTCATTTTTGAACGAACGGTACAGATCTGATGACCTGACAAAAAATCCCGTCTCGTAAATTTTCCGAGAAAATTAATTTTTTCATTTTTCTGCATGTTTCAGCGAGTTCCTGGCGTTACCTTCAAATTTAGGGATATTTTAATTTTTTTATATGTTAAAATTTAATTTTAGATTAATTATTTTTTGACTTTTCATGAAAATTCTTAAAAACTCTAAAAAACAAGGTTGTGTTTTAATTTAAGGTACTTGGCTAAATATTTAAAAGAACATAACATAGTTATCGGAAGGAAGGGAAACTTAAATTTCGCAGGCCTGCGTTATTGAGCCTTTCAATGCGCACTTTTCCCGCCTCGGATGTTAGAGGGAGCCAAAAAATAAAAAGTCTTTAAATACAATGCCTTTAACTATTTTCTAGAAAAGAAAATACCCGATAAATATTAATAATTGAAACTGTAGAGAAAATCTTAAACTTAATTTGAGTCGTATATTACAAATCAGTATTCGGTTTTTCTAGATTAGGTAATTTTGCCAAAATATTTTAATTTTTATAAGAAAAACAAGTTTTAACAGGTTAAAAATTTGAAATATAACAGATTTTTTTGTAATTTGTTTTCATTTGTATTAAAGCCTATTAGCGAAGAAAAGCCATGATTAAATAAAACAGTTGTGAATAATCAAATAAAAATTAGTATGGGGCAGTATGGATACTAAAAGTACTGAGCACTGCATTCTCAAAATTATCGGCAGTACCCGATTTTTAAAAGCACTCCAAATACTCAGTACTCACAAAACAACTCGAAAGTACTGAGAATTTCAAATAACTCGAAAGTATTCAGTACTCAAACGTACTCTGTTCCAGTCATCACTTTGATGCATATGTATACTGAGGATCGATTCAAAGTACTCAGTATATATAAACTGTCTAATAGATACTTAAAAGTAACGAGTTTTTTTTACATTTACCGGTGTTAAGAAATGTTTGTACTCAATTTCAAGTTTCAACAGTTTTCAAGTACCATATTTGTATCCAGTACATTAAGCCATTTCATTGACACTAAGGGCGTGTGTGAATCGGTAACAAAGTTGTATGGGGAAAGCTGTTGAATAATATTTTTACTATGGTGAGAGAGTTTTGCCAATTTTATGTGTGAAATGAAATCTTTTCTGACAGCATTAAATTTTTGATAACTGCAGATTTATGCGGCATAAAATATTACAAATTGAAGTGAAATTAATATTTTAAGAAAACATCTACCATCGCTGATCGCAATTCATCAATTTAAGCTTTTATTTAACGAAAAATTTCACACATCAACAATCTTTGCGATTGTCAAAATTTTCTATTCATTTGTCAAAAATTTCACTAGCCTCATAAGCTACTGAAATTTTATTCACCTCATACAGAAGGATTTTTTTTTTTTTCATTCACAATGCAAACTTAAAATAAAAATGTCTTGGAATAATTACCTTACCTAGAAAAACAAAACACAGATCCATAATCTACGACCCCGAATTAAGTTCATAAGCCTCAGTGCTTTTTGTGTCAGTTCCTGAAACTACAGCTTTCTTCGATTTGGTCCATATGTGCATACATACATACATATGTATGTAAGTACGTAGTCAAATACATTTAATCGTCAAAAGTCGAATTTCAATCATAAATGTATTTTTGATATCATTAAAGTATTAAAAATTAACCGTAAATAATCCACCCTAAATATTTCCATAGATTCTTTAATCAAGAAACTGTTTGCTATTAACTGGCCATACGGTACGCATGTAGTATAACAATATTTATAGCAACGGGTACAAACAAAAAGTAAAAAAAAAAATTAGTTCACATTCATACATACATATATATGTACATATGTATTTGTCAACTGGTAACAACAGTTAGTACTTTGGTCAGAAGCGGTAAGTGCAATCAATTCTTCACTCCGGTCACTAACGTTCGTTTACCAACTTTCTTGTCGGCAATGACTGTCTCAATGGATTTGATACCAGCCAGCACTTGTGACACTTATTTCTAGTTTACCGGCCATTAGGTTGGCGTGTGCAAAAACTTTGGTAGAACCATCTCAATTAGTAGTGCCGTGTGCAAAAGAAGTTCATTTCTTTTTCAGAAGTTGGGGGTGTGTGCAAAATGTGGTGAAGCTCATTGCGTTAACCGCTTCGATCGGTTTGTGGGTTTGGTACGTTCCTCGTTGGGCCGAAAGTTCAAAGATATTTATGCAAACTTACTTAAGTATGTAGTTTCTTAAAGCTTTGTATCTTATTTTGTAATTATCTTAATGACGGTAATCAATGACTTCAGTTGCAGAGAAGAGGCGAAACCGTCTTCTCCTCCTTATAGTTGTTGCAGCGAAACGCTATAGTAACGGATAAGTACACATTTAGTTTTATTCGAGGCAATAAATGTGCTCATGCTGTTACCACACTAGGCCTAGACTCGTGCTGCCAGAAGTGATGATTTATCTTCAAAATTAAGACTTATTTTCAAAAAATATCGTCAAAATCTGAAACTGGAGATATTAATAAAATAAATAATTTTGAATTCTTTTCCAGTCGAGAATTCGCTGAGTAGACTTATTACTCCAAATTTTATGCAGAATATTTTTCATAAAAGATTTCTGGCAACACTGCTTCTGCAGGCGACGACACGGTCTCCTTGTACAAATCCCTCTGTAACAAATTTTTGTAGAGTTACTTTGGCCATCTGCGCTATGGCTAGGTTAAGCGCATTGCTCCTTCTATGTATTTGTACTTTCAGATGCCAGTCGTTGTGGCTGAGTGAGTGATTGTGCCTCAAGCTTAAAAAGTGGGTTTAAGCTCCAAATCGATTTTCAGTACAAATTCTTGAAGCGAGCACAAGCCCCATCTGCGCAAAAACTGAGTCTGAGTTGAGAGGCCCAATGTCTCACTGAAACTAGCGCACTTCTTGAGACAAAAGCCACCGCCACATATGATACTATGTGTAGGTTTTGTACTTAGAGCGGGTGTGAATCGGTAACAAAGTTCGCGGCGAGTAAAATTTTGACAACTATGAGGTGAATAAAATTTCAGTAGCTCATGAGACTAGTGAAATTTTTGAAAAATGCATAGAAAATTTTGACAATCGCAAAGATTGTTGATGTGCGTAATTTTTCGTTAAATAAAAGCTTAACAGCCTTATTCTCTATCACGAACGATTCATCTGCAGAGAAATGCTTCAAAAATTAGTCCGGCGGCATCATTTTAGCCGGTTTAAACGCAACCGAGACCATTTCAACGTAATGTATGAAAAGCAAGACGAAGACGGCCGATAGAGTTTAAAATCGCAATCTGAGAGGTTGTCGTCTGCAGACAAATCGTTCGTTTTGCCTATCGTTCGTGATATAGAATAAAGCCCTTATTGATGAATTGCAATCAACGATGGTAGATGTTTTTTTTTTAATATTAATTTCACTTCAATTTTTAATATTTTATTCCGTATAAATCTGCGGTTATTAAATATTGACTGCAGTCAAAAAAGATTTAATTTCACACAGCAGATTGGCAAAACTGTCTCACCATAGTACAAATATTATTCAACAGCTTTCCCCATAGAACCAAAGAACGTAGATAACAAGAAGGGAAAACTCGTTATAATTGTAGCGAAAGTGAGTAACAGGTGCGTGCCGTCTCTTTTGCTCTAGTACGTTTCTTAATTGGATGAAAAGAGAAGGCATGTCCCTGTTACTCACTTTCGCTACAATTATATCGGATGTCCCTTCTTGTTATCTACATTCTTTGTTTGGACCACGTTAACCGATCTCTATACTTCTTTTTCATCGGAAAGGTGGTACCTCAACGGTGGTCCCATACTAATTTTGTTTGGATCCGATAATGAGATCGTGGTGAGTCGATTTTGTTTTGTGTTTAAAAATTACTTGTTATTAATTTAAATCTGCATCCCTACAAAAAAAAATTGTATGCATATAAAGTCCATTAAATACTCCGATAAAAGTTTGGTGCTTTTTCGAGAAAAAACGCGATTTTTCTTGGGTTTTAGTGCTTTTTCAAATTCGAAACTTGGCAATACTGCGCATCAGTCCCACAAAACGTCGTTTTTTATAAGACAAATCATGGCAACACGAAAAAGCACTACCGGAAGTACAGGGTGTTAACGCGGGTTTTCTCCCTGCACTACCGGTAGTGCTTTTGGTCCCAACCGATATTTGGTCCCATATAATATCCCATTCGTATGTTTTTGTTTTGTTTCGTATGTTTTTGTGCTGCAGCATGTGTTGAAATGTATTCTGGCAAAAGAAGAATCTGAGAATTTTCGCTAGAAATCAGCAGAAAATCTTCGTCAGCAAAAGCGTGCACTTTAATGGAAAACTAGGGTAACTTATCCACTTAATTACTCATTTATACGTAACGAGTGCAAATGCTGACGAGGTCAAGGTTACGAAACATTCATCGAAGGTAATTGCAGCTGCGGAAGAGAGAATTCGGATGCTAAAATACATACTCAAGTTTATTTCAATAATTTGAAACAGCAAAAGAGCAGCAGCAGCAGGGCTAATCAAGCCGCTCAACCTCAACAACCACAAAAGCAGCATAAGAACATCAAATTTATCTTGCCATTGCCAAAAAAAAGGTATTTATGTTAATCCCATGCAAATTTCAACTATATAACTAACCGGAAATGTAACATTTTTTTAGTTCTATTACCCGCCTTAACCATTAAGCATGCTATTGATACGCAATGTACAATGCCTTCAGAGAGGTGTCACATTGCCAACAGTCGCCTACGCTGCACCACAAATGTGTTTGCTCGGAAGAACGGCGAGAGTCGAAGGAAAAGATGTTCACACTAGCCTTAGGTATTTGACCAAATGGCCCTCACATCTTATCGGTTATACTCAACATAGTAATTCCACCTTGGAAAAGTACCCAGGAAACATGATGATTCTACGAACAATTAAAAACAGGTACGCAAGCAACGAAAGCAGAGAACGATTGCCCCAAAATTTGGGCATACAAGAGAAGAACCCTAGCGGAGATATGAGTGTAGACAACTTAAGTAAATCTCATGTGATAAAGAATAACATAGTAAATGCGGTTAAACCATATTGGCGCTTAATGCGTTTGGATAGACCTATAGGTGAGCATAATTTGAAATTTTTAATAGAAATACATCTGGTTGTTATCAGCTTAATCGCTTGCATAATAGGTACTTACTTGCTTTTCTGGCCTTGTGGTTGGAGTATTGCGCTGAGTGCAAATGCTGGCTGCTGGCCTGATTGGAAAATGTTGGGCCTTTTCGCTACTGGGGCATTGATAATGCGTGGCGCCGGATGTACTATTAATGATCTCTGGGACAAAGATATTGATACGAAAGTCGAACGTACTCGAAATCGACCACTTGCCGCGGGCGAAATCACGCAATTTGATGCTATTGTTTTTCTGTCAGCTCAGTTGAGCTTGGGCTTATTAGTGCTGCTGCAGTTAAATTTGCAATCAATAGTATTAGGAGCAAGTTCCTTAGGATTAGTCGTTACATATCCACTAATGAAGCGGATAACATATTGGCCTCAGCTGGTACTGGGCATGGCTTTTAACTGGGGTGCACTTCTAGGATGGTGCGCGACACAAGGTGCGGTCAATTGGGAAGCTTGTTTGCCATTGTACCTCTCCGGTATATGTTGGACGATTGTATATGACACCATATATGCTCATCAGGATAAATTCGACGACATTCAAATCGGTGTGAAATCAACGGCTTTACGATTTGGGGATAATACTAAAATCTGGCTATCTGGATTTACGACGGCTATGTTATCTGGACTTACTTTGGCTGGTATAGCGACCGAACAAACAATAGCATACTATGCAGCAGTCGGTGTAGTAGGAGCCCACTTAGTACAGCAAGTAATCTTATTTTTCTAATATACATATGAGTTGATTAGCATAAATTTATGTATTTTTTTCTATCTTTGCAGATATATTCACTCAATATTAATAACCCATCAGACTGTGCGAAGAAATTTTTTTCTAACCACCAAGTGGGATTGATTTTGTTCCTTGGGATTATCTTGGGCACACTTTTAAAACCAGAAGAGAAAGTGGATAGCAGCACAGTGGCCAACGCAAGCAATACCCTTACACAAATGCAGGCGACGGGTGGACTGGTTCAAATACCTGCTACACCTGAAGCATTGACGTAATGGGTTTTCCAGCGGTTTTTCCGATCCTAATAAAGGCTACTATAATAATAATAATTGGCTATTTTGTAAACCAAAGGGTAATTTTTATTTTTGTTAAGAAAATAATTTAGAATTAAAAATTAGTACAAAGTATTAAAAACGGGACTTTTCAAAACTCTCATTTTGATTGTTGGTGTTTTCGACAGTTCGACAGGTAGGAGTCTAGACTCAAATTAGGTTTAGCAAAATGACACTGAAGATAACACAACGCCGAAACCGGTTTGTCATCAAGCCAAATTTGACAAAGGTGACGAAAAATCGTCCAACAATACATCACCTTTCCAAATAAGCACTCCTTTTAAAGTAGCGTTTATACTTTATTCGTTTAAATGTTAATTACAGTTTTAAATGTTACTTCAAATTTTCAGATACGATAATTATGGGAAGAAAACTTATTTCAAAGGGGTGTGCGAATTTTGCCCAGCCCAATTCCTTAATTTAAATGGTTGTATTTGTGATACTTACGCATCCTTTTCTTAGTATTTAAATTAAATCTGCCACATTCATTGGCATTTCATCAATTTGTGTGGAATAGTATTGCTCAATATCACGCAGAATGCGAATGTCATCAGATTTTACAAAATTAATAGCGACGCCTTTGCGTCCGAAACGACCTGAACGGCCAATGCGGTGTATATACAGTTCACGATTATTTGGCAGATCATAGTTGATTACCAAAGACACTTGTTGCACATCTATACCTCGCGCCCACACATCTGTCGTGATCAGTACACGCGACTGGCCAGCCCGAAACTCTTTCATGATCTCGTCACGCTCTTTCTGTGGCATATCGCCATGCATTGAGCTTACAGTGAAATTCGCTTCGCGCATTTTCTCTGTCAACCAGTCCACCTTACGCTTAGTGTTGCAGAAAATCACGGCCTGTGTAATTGTTAATGTGTCATAGAGATCGCATAGTGTATCAAACTTCCATTCTTCGCGCTCAACAGCGACGAAGAACTGCTTAATGCCTTCCAGTGTCAATTCATCACTAAAATCAAAGAATATTTAAGTTAACAAAGGTTATTTATTATTCCGGATTTACTTGCCGTTTTACGAGAATACGAATCGGATCTGTCATAAATTTTGAAGTCATTTCAAGTATTTCGTGCGGCAATGTAGCAGATATTAACACAACTTGGGTTGCTGGCGGTAAATAGCGATATACATCATAAATTTGTTCCTTGAAACCTTTATTCAACATCTCATCTGCTTCATCGAGTACCAGCATTTTAATGGCTCTAGTCCTCAGCACACGTCTTTTAATCATATCAAATACTCGTCCGGGTGTACCACTAACTATATGCTGTCCGTAATCCAATTTTCGTATATCTTCTCCCAAGTTGGTGCCACCAATGCACACATGGCATTGTACATTCATGAAATCGCCAAGCGCCAGGATCACTTTCTGGATTTGGACAGCCAACTCACGAGTTGGCGATAAACATAACACTTGTGTTTCACGCAATGTTGTATCCAAACTTTGCAAAATCGAGATTGAGAAGGTGGCCGTTTTTCCTGTGCCGGATTGTGCTTGCGCGATGACGTCGCGGCCTTTCACAATAGGTTTAATACTACGTTGTTGAATGGCCGATGGCTTTTCGAACCCTACACACGTATGTATATAAAAATGTATGTTATTTTCGTTTTTGTTACTCCCTCATACTTCTTACCATAAGCATAAATTCCACGCAGCAGCTCCTCTTTCAGATTCATAGCATTGAAAGTTGGTACCACCTCTACATCTTCGCTAGTCTCAAACTCTACGTTTGATAGATCCTCCGCTTGTGCATTTTTACGCAGCTTATCCATTTTGTTCGTTTTTGGTAAATTCTGTAGTGAAGTGTGGAATTTTAATAAATATTTGGAATAAATTTAACTAGAAAATGCGGATGATGTTTTTGCTTTTTTTGACGTTTCCTTTTGTTGTAGAGGTGTCAAACTATCGATGGTACTATCGATAGTATCGATAGTTTTACTTTTTGGGCCTTTCGATGAGTAGTCATAGTTTTTCTCTAAAACTATCGATAGTACTAGTTGACTATCGATAGTTTAACACATCTAGCCATGAACCAAAAATACAAGATCACGCCTTCTTCTTAGTAGCCCGTTATAATCGTATTTAGGAAAAAAGTTGGGCGACTTTGACATTAGCCGTTTGTTTAGATTCGTTGTTTACAATTTGGTGGTGGCTTTTTACTGCAATTTGCTTAATTTTCGCTTGTGACAACGTGTGCACACATAAGGTAAAGTATAATTTAACACAACGACATGATTTATAGAAGAATTTGCATAATAAAAATGATTATTCATGCGTTCAAGAATTACGCTGTTTTTTTTTGTTCTCTTCGTTGTTTACTTCTTTCTTTCGGGAAGGTGTGATCTTGTGTCTTTCGTTCATGACATCTAGCACAGCCGATTTTATTCATAACTTCTCCATTTTGTGTAGCTGCGCGTGGGTTTGGTAACTTTGCAAATTTTTGTATAATAGGTGATATTTTCTTAGTGCTTCCTTCTTTAAGGGCCGTTTTCTCAACCAATCTCTAATTGAAAAGTTCCCTTTATATTTAAACGTTGCTTTAAAACTTATAGCTTTGTTTAAAGAGAAGCATTTCTATTATCGGTTTTTCACGTATGTATATATGTTTCTTGGCTGTAAACAAATCAAAAAAATTATATTACGAAATTTAAACAATTTGTAATAAATATGTAAATAAATAAATAAAATTCGATAATAAAACGCTTTACTTTAGACACAACTATACATTTCTAAAGCGATCTGTAAATATGAAGTGAGCTTTAAAGTTAAAGGTTGCTTGAGAAAACGGCCCTAAGTGTGTTTCTTTTCCCAATCATTTGTTTTTTTTTTTTGTATACAAGATTGCGCCGTCCTGGGCGTTGACATTTGTGTACCACAAGTAAACAAAGAATGGAGCGAAAAGAAGAACGAGTTGAAACCATGAACCAAAAAGACAAGATCACGACAGCAGAAGAGTGGCCCGTTATAATCGCAGTTATGAAAAAAGTAGGGCGATTTTGACATATGCCGTTTGTTTACATTTGTTCGTTGTTTACAATTTGGTGGTGGCTTTTTACTGCAATTTTCTTAATTTTCGCTTGTGACAACGTGTGCACACATAAGGTAAAGAATAATTTAACACAACGACATGATTTATAGGAGAATTTGCATAATAAAAATGATTATTCATGCGTTCAACAATTACGCGTTTTTTTTTGTTCTCTTCGTTGTTTACTTCTTACAACAAAGATGGCGTCGAGATTTCAACAGCTAGAAAATAACTTTTTTCTTTCTTTCCTTAAGGCGTGATCTTGTGTCTTTCGTTCATGGTTGAAACTGCCAAAGCAGTTCACTTTACAGCGAATAACGTGTTTTAATTTTGCTAAATGTGAAAATATTGCATTTTTCACCTAATCTATTAGAGAACAGTGAACATATTCGTGCACTCCATTGCTTTGCAATTAAGGCTGCTGCAGAAAACTGCAGAACGCTTCATGCATCTTGACGGCTGTCGCAATTTAACACACAGCACTTCATTGTATTAGTTTTTACGCAGTCCTCAACTCAAAATCACTCACAAATTGCAAATTAACACAATTTAAACTGATTTTTCACTTATAATTAAAATTTCTCTTTCGCTGATTTGTAAACAAAGGTTTATTTACAAGTTACCACAACTGTCAGAATTGGCAAAACCAAAGTAGCGGTACCACTGACGGCGTCACCTTTGTTTATCGATAGTATTGCTGCAAACTATCAACGAGAATGATAGTTTTTTTCTGAAACATGGAAACTATCGATAGTTTTACAACTCTATTTTGTTGTAATCGTTCTTAATTTTGAACAGAGTTGTATTCGCTAAAGGCCTATATAGATAACGCGGAAAATAGTGACGTTTATAATTAGCGAATTAGCTAACTCGACGGCGCACAGTGTGCGTTTTTAACACTCCATGCGAAATAATTGTAGCGATTTCGACAGAAACAAGGTAGTCTCGAAAGCTAATGTGATTGCCTTTCACGTAAAAATACGAACGAATTTATTCCAAAAAAACGTTTGTATTTTTTGCTATATCTACTAATATTATCGATTTTGAGACGAGAAACACGAAAAAAATGTAACCCTTCAATTTGTAAAATGAATTATATATTAAATTTTTTAGATTTGTATGCAGCTGTGCTTCCTTCACACAATTTTATATCCCTTGAATAGCAAGTACGTTTTAGTGCTATTCAACTTCAACTTTCGCTCCATGAAAACTCAAAAAATTCTAAGGGAAAAAAACACTCCGATAGTTCACATAAAAAACACGCTATTTATCAACAAAAGTAGATAAAGCGCTAACCGCACATAAAATCTGACCGCAACCGCATCACATAAAAAAAAAAGAAAAATAAGTAAAATGAGAGTGGTAGTCGTCGAATCGATGAAAATTTGTACTCTAGGGTCAAATTTCACAACTGCTAAACTAAACTTGCTACAGAACGACAAAAGTGGGGTCCACCACTGCCGGAATGGATATAGTTATTTATGTACAAATTTTCGAAATATTTACTATCATCCTTAAAAAAAATACGCACTGTCATTTCAGCATTTTTATATGAAGCCATTTATATAATAATTTCTTTGTATTCAGCTTTCAAAAATAGGTTTCTACAAACTATATGCATACATAAGTATATAGGTAGATACTTCTATTAATTTCTTAATTATAAAATAAAGTATGTGTTTGTATAAATGTATGCTTGTATGTACATGTTCATACATATATGCATGCATTTATAAACTAATCTTCAACGAAGAAACAGACCTTACATAAAGTGCCTCGAAATGTACACATCGCACACCGGCTTCAAAGGAGTCACAACACAAAATAATACGTTTGTCATAAAATGCGAAAAACTATTTATTAACACATGATAATCATATGGGCAGGGTTTTTTTTTAACAAATTATAACAAAAATTTCCCCCAGCTTTTCCTGAAATGTAATAATATACAGCATTTATAGCGCTTAATCTCAAAAATTGCACATTCTGAGTTGTGACTCTTTTGAAGGCGGTGTGCGACATGATACCCACAATAGAGAATACAGCGACAGTA